TTTTATCACTGCTTCAGAGGACAGATGGGAACGAGGTCAATGGCATCAGAAGATGTACAGCAGAGACACCTTTTCCATCAGTATCATTCCTCCCTCCAAGTTTATTTCCACACAAATCTGTTCTCCCAGGTTTTCCCACGAGGCACACTCATTGCCATAGTTTTGCTCCTTCAATGCAAACCCTGACCTAGAGCAGGTTTCAGATAAAGCATTTTGGTGTTTACACAGAGAATCAATAGTTGCTGCAACAGCCATAAAGACTGTGCCAGCTCCAGCACAGAAATCCCTTGCTGGACACACAAGACTGTGCCAGCTCCAGCACAGAAATTCCTTGCTGGACACACAAGACTGTGCCAGCTCCAGCACAGAAATTCCTTGCTGGACACACCATTAGGCCTCACCACATACCACAATTCCAGCCTCAAGCCCTGCAAAGTATTTTAAGTTACACCACAGTGCCAATGGGAAGAAATAGATGGCTGTAAAATCCCAGAAACACAAGCAATTATCACAGGGAATTGCTGGAGGAAGGAGAATTCTCCACATCTCCCTTCTCCTGCTCTGCCATGCAATGTTCTCAGCAGGAGAAGAGAGGGGTTTTGGGCAGCACTCACTTGAGCAGCTTTGGCTGGAGCAGGCGCTGCAGGCGGTCGCTCACCACGGATTTCTGCAGCAGTGTCTTCTCTTCAGTTTTCCCTAAACCAGACAGGGGAGCAGGCAGACATCAGTGCAAAGCCACTGCCAGGAGACCCCCCTGCTCCCAGCACCCCTGGGGATGCCCTGCAGCTCTGCAGGGACAGCTCCCTGCACCAATCACCGACGTTGTGTTAGACCTGGGCAAGGCACAGCCTCTGGCTCAGTTTTACTGGGATCTCCAAAGAGACCCCAATAAAGGAATCACCCTGTGAGTATCTGCAGGTGTCCCTTCAACTTCCCTCATCTGGGCACTACCCTTGCACCACCTTGCTTGGTTTAGGAGCTCAGCTCACAGCAGCTGATGCAGCAGAACAAATGAAAAAGGAGCCATTAAAGACTCACTGAAATAATTTACAGAGCACCCCATTCCTTTTTAACAACTTTTTTGTGAGTCAGGCAGAGGTGTTGATGTTTAACTGCAAACAGGAACACACATACCCCAACAACATGAATATATACATTTGTTATATGAATATATACAGGTTATAGCTCTTCTGAACAGCCCCAGACTTACTTACACTTGGTTGAATGCAGCTGTTCAAAGGATTTTATGCCCTGAGCTGCCTTTTCCTTGGCATCTTCATTGGAAGGAGGGCCCTGTTGAGGATTAGAAGGGTTAGTTACACTGAGAGTCACACAAAATTTCCGTTTCTTCTTAAAACTCCAGCATGAACTGCTACAAAATTAACTGGAAACTCAAACTTGTGCAAACTGTCACACTCACACTGCTTAGTTACCTTTGTTAGCAAGAGCTCAGAGGTACATAATTTAATTAAATAGAAATATTACAGTAATTGTTTGACTATATTAATATATGGATGATGACAGTTGATATCTTGGCTGCCATAAAAAGCCAAGATCTCCTTCTGCTGATAGCCTTTTAAAAATACATGAAAAAAAAAGTACTACTGATTGCTCCAGAAAATATTAAAAAAAAAATACAGAAAATATCAGAAACTGAGAAAACTCAGTTTCACAGACAAACAGATTTCAGTGAGTGCTTCAAAGAGCAGCATGGAATTGGGTCATGGAAATGAAGGCAATTAAAGTCAAGTTAAACCCAAGAATGTTCAAGTCCCTGGTGGCTGCAATTCCACTCCTCAGAACTCACAGGGATGAACAAACATTTCCAAAAGAGGGTGAGTGACAAGTGAGACGAAAAAGGTTTCAGGCTGAGGAGTGACAATCAGTTACACACCTGAAATGAGAACAGTTCAAACACATTCCATGTACATCCATCACCCAGGACACACCAGTCTGGAAGCTGCTTTTATTTACTTACAATTCCTGTTATTTTATCCTTAAAGTATGGCTTCATAAAATGACCCAAAAACACATTTGTTTGTAGATTTCTGCCATCTCCTGCCTTGGCTCTTTTTGGACCATGAAGCTCACATATGATTTCCTTCTGCAAGACAAGAATGGATTGAAGAGCATCAGTGTCTCCTCCAAACAGCTGATTTCAGAGAGCAGTGGCTGAGCCCTCACAAACACCCCAGGCAGGGTTCAAATCTGCAGCACCAGACTGTAAAATCAGTCTGAGTTAAAGGCAGGATTTGGAATTTGTTGAGTTTGCACAGTGCAGGTGGTTTCAAAGCTTAATAAAATACTAACTTGCCACAGGAAACTAAAATAGAACATGGAAAATACCCATTTTTTATTGTAAGAAAGCATGGAAGCATCAGTTAAATAAACCAGTTGAGTCCTGGGCTTGAGGGGAAGGAAGGATGGCAAATGGCAGCCCAGAAAAGCACAGAAATTAGCATTTCACTCCTGCTTTGCTCACCTGCTGCTCTCTGTTTTGTGCAACAAGCAGCTCCACCTCCTCAATCTTTTCCTTGATAACATCCTGGTACACATGGTTCATCTGCAGGCAGGTTTCTGGATCCTGGGGCAGGCTTTCAATATCATCATCATCATCATCATCATCATCACTGCTGTCTCCTCCTTCCACTTCCACTTCCTTGAGGCAGGTAAAGTATTAAAGGAAAAAAAGAGAGAAAAGCATTTGTTGGAAAAGCAGGTCTGTAACAATCAGTGCTGTGCCTCAGCTCTTCCTCAGCTGGGTGCCCACAGCTTGTGGGGATTGCAGGGAGGCTTCTGACCCTGGAGAACAAAATCCTGGGCAGGAATACCCCAAATCCAGGTTTTACTGAGCACAAAGCCAAGGAAATTGCCTGGATTTCCCCAGAGCAGGGTGAGGTTTCCCTTCCTCCTGTTCCCTTCAATAGACAGCTGGAAAGATATACTTAAAGAGAAAAGAATTACCATTTCAGCATAAGAATCTTCATCATCATCATCTTCATCACCACCATCTGTTAGACAAACAAAGCACAAAAATGCTGACTGAAGTGAGATGAAAGGAAAGCTTTCAACCCAAATCTTTTCTGTTAAAGCACAGAGGAAAGAGCACCAAGAGATCTCAGACATGACCATTAGTGGGTTTGGATACTGACAACGCTGTCAAGTAAAAAGTGTATTGTTAAACAAGTAAAAATTGCATTGTTGTACAGGTACAAAGTGTATTTTTTACAAGTAAAAAGTGTGTTGCTGTACAAGTAAAAAGTGTGTTGCTGTACAAGTAAAAAGTGTCTTGTACAGGTAAAAAGTGTATTGTTGTACAAGTAAAGAGTGTGTTGTTATACAAGTAAAACGTGTATTGTTGTACAGGTAAAAATTGTATTGCTGTCCAAGTAAAAAGTGCATTGTTGTACAAGTGAAAAGTGTCTGGTTGTACAAATAAAAACTGTATTGTTGTACAAGTAAAAAGTGCATTGTTGTACAAGTAAAAAAGTGTATTGTTGTACAGGTAAAAAGCGTACGGCTGTACAAATAAAAATTGTACTGTTGTACAAGTAAAAAGTGTATTGTTGTACTTCACTTTTGCTTTTTTTGTTGTTGTTGGGAAGGTAAAAACGAGCAGCTCTGGGTAAGCCCAGCAGAGCTGCGCGGTGCCCCTGCACACGGGAGGCTCCCGGCTGTGCAGCCAGGTGACAACTCCAAGGCAGGACAAACGCGAGCTCGGCACCAGCCGGGCGAGGCGCCCGGAGCCGCCGGGCCCGGAGCGAGGAGAGGCACCGAGCGGCGGCACCGACCCCGCTGACTTTGCACAGCGAGCCGCGGAGCGCTGGGGATGCTGCGGCTGCGTGAGGGCCGCGCGGGCCCCGATTCGCCTGCGAACGGAACGAGCCCCGCGGAGCCGTACCGGAGCTGAGGGTGCAGTCGGACAGCTGGAGGTCGGTGCCGCCGGGCTGCAGGCTGCGCTCCAGCTGCTGGATCTCGCGGCGGATCCGCTCCCGCTCCGCGTCCAGGTCCAGGCCCCGCGGGGAGCGGAGCGGGCCCGGCCCGCGGGACATGGCGGCACCGCCGCGCCGCGGCCGCCGCGCCCCGCCAATCGCTGCTGCCGGCGCGGGTCAGCTGACCCGGCGCGTCACACCGCGCGGCCAATCGGAGCGGGGCCCGGCGCACGTGCACGGCCGGGGGGCGGCCCCGGGAGCCGCAGAGATCGGCCCGGGACGGGACCGCGACAGCGGGACACGGGGACAGCGGGACACGGGGACAGCGGGACACGGGGACAGCGGGACACCGGGACAGCGGGACACGGGGACAGCGGGACACGGGGACAGCGGGACCGGGACACGGGGACAACGGGACACGGGGACAACGGGACACGGCCTTCAGCGGCACTGGGACAGCGGGACACGGGGACACCGGGACAGTGGCACCGGGACACAGGGACAACGGGACACAGGGACAGCAGGACACGGGGACAGCGGGACACCGGGACCGGGACACGGCCTTCAGCAGCACCGGGACAACGGGATACCCGGACAGCGGGACACGGGGACAACGGGACACCCAGACAGCGGCACACCAGGGCACCCGGACACCGCAACACCGGGACACCAGGACACGGCCTTCAGTGGCACCAGGACACCGGGACACGGCCTTCAATGGCACCACGGCACAATCTTCAGCAACACCGGGACACGGCCTTCACCGGCACTGGGGCACCGGGACACGGCCTTCAGTGGCTCCAGGACACCGGGACATGGCCACCGCCTGCTGACCCACAGGCCTTTCCCCGTGCAGAGCCGGGGCACCGATCGGCAGCACCGGGAGCCGCAGCCAAAACCCGCGGTGCTCATGGCGAGGTGCCCGGGAAGAAGGGCCGCGCTCCGGCCCCGCAGGAACGGCGCTGCAGCCGGCTCCGTGCCAGGCTCAGCGATCCCTGGCTGCGGCTGCACCGCGGGAGAGGGTGGAGAAGTCAGGTCTGCAGTTTGACGCATCAGAATGAGGCCAAGTATCAAAAATTCACTTTTTAGTAGTGGTTTCCATACGAAAACAAAGTCCTCCGTGCTGTGTGAGTCACTGTCCGTCCTCTGACACCTCAGAGATTCTGTCTATGGATTTCAGGAGGTCAGCCACGAGCTGCAGGGATTCTGCTCCAGACAGCAGCTGCCTGGAGTGGGAGAGATGCAGTGTTACATGTGGGGACAGGCAGCCCGGCAGCTTTGGGAGAGTCTTCCTGCATTCTGTGATTTATCAAGTAGCGTTTTATCAGCACTGGAAACTCACAGACTCCCACTTCCCACTTATTTTTACACTTGGAGGAAAACACACGGAGCGGCTCCTCTGGCTCGCAACACAAAGCCCTGAATTTCAACCCTAAAAAACCCATTGGGGAGGTTTATCTGCGAGCCCAGGGTGCAGCCCCGTGCCCGGGAGGGCTGCCGCAGCCCGGCTGACCTGAGGGATGCTCGGGAGCTGGTTGTGACCCACAGCAGATGCTGCAGCGCCACCTCCGAGTTCCGCTTGGCCGCCGCCAGTCCCATCTGGCCCGCCCGCAGCGCCTCCTTCTCCAGCCGGGAATTCCTCAGCTCCTCCTGGGGGCAGCGGGAAAAATCCGTGAGAAGCAACCCCAGAAGTGCAGGAGGTACTCGACAGCTAATGGATGCATTCCCACAGCGGTTTATGGGTGTGGAAAGTAATCATTAACTAACACAAATAGTGAGTGCAATAATGTAATAAATAGTGACTAGAGCCCGGAACCTGCCTGGAGGGAGTGTCTGCCCAGAAGAACAGAACCAGTAGGGTTGGAAAAACCTCTGGATGTATCCAGCCCAACCCCCTGCCAAGGCAGTGTCACCTGGAGCAGGTGGCACAGAAATTTTTCCAGGTGGGTTTGGATGTCTCCAGAGAGGGAGACTCCACGAATTCCCTGGGCAGTTTGCTCCAGGGATGCGTCACCCTCCATGGAAAGAAGTTCTTCCTCATTTCAGTTTCTGGCCACTGCTCCTCACCATTGCAGAGTCTGACACCATCCAGGCCCTCCCTCAGGACACAAGCCTTCACTGAACCTTAAAATACAGCCAGCATTTTCCTCAGAGCCTGCAAAACCCCTGCAATATTCTTTCCTCTGGCTCAATTCTGAGATGTGTCCCTGCAGCCCCAGCAGTGCTGCTGTGTACCTGGAGCTGTGCATTTTCCTGTCTCAGTTTGGCAGCGCTGCTCTCAGCTTTGGCAGCCCGTTTCTGCAACAGAACAGAGATTGCTGAAATAAGAATAATAAAAATTGATTTATTATATAATATATATAATACATATATAATATATCACATAAATAATAACTATAATATATAATACCATATATATGATATATAATACTATTTGTGTAATATATAGTATAATATATAATATATAATATATAATATATAATATATAATATATAATATATAATATATAATATATAATATAGATTTATCATATATTAGTAAATAATAGAATATATAGCTATCAATTATTATCATAATGTTAATACTAAAAATATTAAAAAACTAAAAATATAATAAAACTAAAAAAAAAAAATAAAAACCCAGGCAGCTTGAGCTACATGGGAATGAGTGATTCCAGCACAGAACTTGCAGGGATAGGATTTGTGTTACACCATCCTGAATGTTTTAGGAGGCAGGAACAGCTCCCTCCTTCCTGCTCCTTTCTGGGCTCTGCAGAACCTCCCCATCCTCACAGGGGAGAATTTCTTCCTGACATCTGATCTAAAACTAAAGCCAACACTTACAGTCATCAGCTGCAGATTCTGCTCCACGTGCTGCACCATTGCTTCCAAATCCTGTGCTTCTTTTTCATCTTTGAGTTTGTTTTCCTCAAGCTTCTTCTCAAGCTTCCTCATCCTTAAAAAAATAAGATGTGGCACACAGTAAGCACTTGTACCATTACATACGTTAGGAAGGAAATTCTGGGGAGGGATCAAGAATCTCATGGTTTCATGTTACAAGGAAAATGAATTCTCCTCACGAACTTGTCTGCTTGAGTTTCAGACAGAATCTGAAGCTTATTGATCTTGCTTCTCAAAATAGCATTCTCTTCTTTTAGCTAAGAAAGAAAAGAAATAAAAAATTCTTTTTAGGATTGAGGTGCATTTTCATAACAATACCAACAACCCAAGACCAATGGCAGAATATTCAGCTTTAATACTGGAAATCTTTGTGCTTTCTAATACATTCCAGCTTAATTTTACCTTCAATTTACCAGTCTGGAAACCACTGTGGGGCACAGGATTGTGGCACTGAACCATCAGTGTGAATGTGACTAATTAATGCTGTCGATTCTAAATGAACGTGACCTCAGGGGGCCAGAAGCACCAGGAATTCACCCGGGTCGTGACAGTAAAAGGGTTTTAAAATCATGGGGATTTGGGGAGTTAGAAGGAAAACTAAGCTTAGTAGGCCCTGGGAAAATACCCTGGGAAAGTATTTGCCTTGTACTTGATGGAACTCCACCTGTGCAGCTGGTATATGATAAATGATATAATTGTTAAGTGTGATGATTGTTTAGTAATTAAATATAATTACAGTTTAATCGTAAGAATAATAATGAGAAACTGTGGTCAGGGGCTTGAAATGGGTCACGAGAAACTCACGGTTGAATAAGATCAATGTATACAATAGAACAATATAAGTTTAATAATTAATATGTAAGTTATATAGCGATAAAATATAAAATACATTCAGCTCAAAAGCCGTGTTGGAGTCAGATGTGGGGCTGTACCCCAACTCCCAGAGCTCTCAATAAAAGCACCTGCAGATAATGATATCCTGTGATTCTGTGTGTTCCTGAATGCTAACATCATGAGCAGGGCAGTAGGAGAGAGAAAGAGCTGGACCTGTGTCACTACAGGACACGTGAAAGCACAATGCGAGTTGCTGCCATTGCACAGGTGAAAAAGAGGAAGTTTATTTTCTGACTCCAGCATTTATACTTTTCCAAAGGTGACAGTGGACTGCAGGGTGAATGTGCCACCTCTCCAATGACACTGGACAAACTACTAGTACATCAAATTTCTCCGCCCCTATGGAGGAATGCAAAATAGATTGTTTACAGAAAGTTGTGTGAGAAACTTCTCTACAAGAATGTAAACTCTGAAGGCTTTAGAAAATCCTAAGAATCTTAACAGACATGGGCGTGCTGAAATGCACATTCCCAGAGCTGATTCTGGGACTGAGCAGCTCCCAGCTGGGAGCCGCTCTGACCCCGGACGGTGCCGGGAGGGCGGGCAGCGCTCACCTGCTCGTAGCTCGGCGGCCCCGGGGGGACCCGGCCCGGCCCCGGGGGGACCCGGCCCGGCCCCGGGCGGGCTCCGAGCGCGGCCAGCTGGGCCTGCTCCACGGCCAGCGGCTGGTAGCTCTCGCTCCACTCCTCCTCCTCTTCCTCCTCCTCTTCCTCATCGTCCTGCTGCTCGTCCCGCGACTCTGCGGGCACCGCGGGCAGCGGGGGCACGACGGGCCCGTCCCGAGCCGCCTGAGGGAGGAGGGGACAGCGAAGCTGAGGCACGCGTCGTGACGGGACGGAGCGCGGCCGCGCTGCCGTGCACGGCCTCACCTGCGCGTCCCCGCCCGGCCCGTCCCCGGCGCGGCGCTTGGAGCGGACGAACTCGCGGAAGGAGAAGGGGTTGGGCTCGGCCGGGGCCGCCGGCAGCGCCCCCGCCACCGGCAGCGCCGCCATGGCCGCCTGAGGGCGGGGCGGGGCGGGGCCGGGGGCGGGGCCTCCTGGCGGAGCCGACCAATGAGCGCGCGCTCTCCGCCGCCGCGCCCATCCGCGGCCACGCCCCTTTCCCACGCTCCCGGCGGCGGCAAGATGGCGGCGGCCATGGCGTGGCTGCGGCGCGGCGCCTGCGGCCCGGCCCGGCGGTGAGCGCGGCCCCGGGGACCGCGGGGGGACCCCTCGGGGTGGGGGGATCAGCCCGTGACGGTGTCCGCGGTGTCCCGCAGGTGCGGGCTGGCGGCCGGCCGCAGCTACAGCGGCGGCGGCGCGTACCCCGGCGTGTCGCTGACGTGCCCGCTGCCCGGCGTGCCCAAGGCCGTGTTCGCGGCGGCCGAGAGCCGAGAGCGCTTCGAGACGCGGGTGACCGTGCTGGAGAACGGGCTGCGCGTCGCCTCGCAGAACAAATTCGGGCAGTTCTGCACCGTGGGCAGTGAGTAGCCGGCGGCCGGTGCCGCCCCAGCTCCCCCACCCCGAGCCCCGGGTGTGACGGTGAGGACCGGGGGTGGGGAAATCACGCTGGTTTATTCTCTTCTTTGCACCAGTTCTGGTGAATTCGGGATCGAGACACGAAGCGAAATACCTCAGTGGTATCTCCCACTTCTTGGAAAAGCTGGCGTTCTGTGTGAGTACTGCCCTGGGGTCCCCAAATCTGCAGAGCAGCTGAGAGCCTGACCCGCAGGGCTCTCTGCACCTCTAAAACAGACCTGGCAGCCCTGACAGAGTCACAGCATCTTAATTGCTTATTAATTAGCATGACTAATTATTTTTTAGAAGTCTTTGTGGTTTCACGTCCAAGGCTGGCGTGTAGTGATCTAACCATTGGACTGAAATGTCAAAGATGTTTTGGGTTGCTCTGAAGGGGTATAAACAGGTATTGCTTTACTATACTAATTTACTGTACTAATTAATAACACTGGTATCTTCTTCCTTAGTCCACAGCTCAGTTTGGCAGCAAAGACGAAATTCTCCTCACCTTAGAGAAGCATGGAGGCATTTGTGACTGCCAGGCATCGAGGTGGGCTGCTCCTTCTGCTCTTACCTGGGTGTTGTAGCACTGACAGCACCTTGAACCTCATTTTCTGATGAGGTTCCAATGAGCCTCATTTTCTTTTTGTTCCCAAGCAGCAGAAATCCATTTATTTGGGCTGCTGGGAATTTACAAAAGTGAGCCTGAAAGGATTATAAAACTCAGATCTATTTCATTTCAGAAGCATTTAATGGTTAGAACAGCTTCATCTGTAATTTTCCTGATACTGAGATGATACTGGATGATCCCAGAAGTGACTGCCCAGTGCAGAAGCTGTTTTTGTGTTGCAGGGACACCATCATGTACGCAGTGTCTGCTGATGCCAGAGGCCTGGACACCGTGGTCAACTTGCTGGCTGATGTAACCCTCCAGCCCAGGTTATCAGGTCTGGCAGCACAAAAACACCATTTCCACCACATGGCCTGCTCTTAAGAGCTCAGAATTCCCTCAGAAGTGACCTTGCAGCAGCTGGGGGTTTTGTGTAGGGGTTGCCATCCCTTGCTTTGTCTTGTTGCAGATGAGGAAATTGAGATGACCCGAATGGCCATAAGGTTTGAGCTGGAGGATCTGAACATGAGACCTGACCCAGAGCCTCTCCTGACAGAAATGATCCATGCGGTAACACACTGGGAATTCCTGCTGTTTTCTCTTCCTTGTGTTTTTTGGCAGCTCCAGGGTTTATTTTAGACTGTTCTAAAACCAGATTTTTTCTTATTCAGTTTTTGAGATGGGAGAATTTGGCTGTCCCTTCACTTTGAAATCCAGCATTCAACACATGTGGAAGATTCTAACCCAAACTAAAATATAATTCTATTTTCACCCACATTTTGTAGGTGATTCTATTCTATTTCACCCACATTTTGTTGATGTGGGTGACAAAATGTTACTGAGTTGCACTGACATTAGTGAAACACTCTCAGCTTCTCCTCTCTCAGCTGTGGGCTTAATTCCAAAGCAAAAAGAGGTCTAGAGAGGGGTTTAGGGAAAAAATGAAGTGATTTGTGATGTTAATGTGTCTGTTCCCTTTCAGGCAGCCTTCAGAGACAACACAGTGGGACTGAACAGGTTCTGCCCCGTGGAGAACACGGACAAAATCGACCGGGACGTGCTGCACTCCTACCTGAGCAGTTACTACACCCCAGAGAGGATGGTGCTGGCTGGGGTGGGCATTGAGCACGAGCACCTGGTGGAGTGTGCCAGGAAATACCTGCTGGGCGTGGAGCCCGTGTGGGGCTCTGGGCAGGGCAGGGCTGTGGACAGGTCCGTGGCTCAGTACACCGGAGGCATCATCAAGGTACGTGGTGGAGGTGACAGCCAGCAGCTTGCTGGGATTTGCTCATTTCTCTCCAGGCTTTTGCTTTTCTTAAGTTATATTTCATGAGTATGAGCCCAAGCTGGCCATGATAGCTGTTAACTGGGTGGCATGGTGATTGTATCAAATGTATCAAACTGAGTACAACAGCTATGAAGATTGGGGTTAATGATCCATCTGCCCTTCCCACAGGTTGAAAAAGACATGTCAGATGTGAGTCTGGGCCCTACTCCCATCCCAGAGCTCACCCACATCATGATTGGGTTAGAAAGCTGCTCGTTTTTAGTAAGTATTAACCTGAAATTCTTCATTTAGTAAGTATTGACCTGAAATCCTTCATTCTGCATGCCTATACTTGGAGTACATATACCTATTCCTTGGAGAATCCCAGGAGCACTGATTCATTCCACAAACATTGGCATGTTTGCTGTTGCACATAAAAACAAGCAGCATTTTCCACAACACTTTGCTGAAGGCCTTGACCTTCACACTGCTCTTATGCTGTGGTTTTTAACTCCCCATTACTCAGCCCAAACCCTCGAGATCTCTGCCATTACCTGAGTTTGTTGTCCCAATCCAGGAGGATGATTTCATTCCTTTTGCGGTGCTAAACATGATGATGGGAGGTGGTGGCTCTTTCTCAGCTGGAGGACCTGGCAAGGGCATGTTCACCCGGCTGTACCTCAATGTGCTCAACAGGTGGGTTTGTCTTGCTCTTTAAGAGGTGCCAGAAACAATCCTGGAGTAGGTTTACATGGGAAAAAAAAAAGCAAATCCCACCAGGTTTTACATCAGTTCATTCTGCTTGGAATGTGGGACTGGTGTGTCAGAAGTGACCAGGAATTGTGTTTTCTTCTGCTAGCCCTGTCCATGCTTCAGTCAGGGAATATTAACAGGATTGGCTCTGTATTGTCCTCGGTTTGGTCTCAAGGATTGAAGTGGAGAGAAGGGAGTAGATGCCACATGCATAAATTGTCAGAAGGAGGGATTGACAATTCTCACTGCACTGCAGAGAATCCTGAGAATGCACAAGGAGGGTGCTTACTGTCCATGTTTAATTTTTACATTGTAAATTTGAATTTTAAAATACTGCTTGTATACTCACAGGCACCACTGGATGTACAATGCCACCTCTTACCACCACAGCTATGAGGACACAGGGCTCCTGTGTATCCATGCCAGTGCAGATCCAAAGCAGGTAGAGTCCTGTACTCAGAGGCAGGAGTCCTTAAGCAGTAACCACATCAGTAGCAGAGTTCTGTGGACACAAGAAGCATTGTTCTGATCTTCTTTCCATTATTGTTTTCCGCAGGTTCGGGAGATGGTGGAAATCATCACCAGGGAATTCATCCTCATGGCAGGAGCAGTGGGAGAGGTCAGCAGCACATTTGAGTTTGCAGATGGTCTTTGAGCTGAAATAATCCCTGGAAGTGTCCAAGGCTGGGCTGGGCAGGGCTTGGAGCACCCTGGGATAGTGGAAGGTGTCCCTGCTAATGGCAGGGGTGGGACTGGATGGGCTTTAAGGTCCCTTCCAACCCAAACCGGTCTGGGATTCTGTGAATGCATCGCATTGACTGTGCTAGAATGGATTTTCATATATAATTTTGTTACATATTTCTGTAAAAGAATGCAGCAACGTTAGCAATGCATTCACAAAGAGAGAGGTGTCTGCAGAACTCTTCCATGTTACCTTGTACTACAGACCAGCAACAAGATTTTTTAAAAATTTCCTGCTCATTCACAGGTAGAACTTGAGAGAGCAAAGACACAGCTTAAGTCCATGCTCATGATGAACCTGGAGTCTCGGCCAGTGATCTTTGAAGATGTGGGGAGGCAGGTTTTGGCAACAAACACAAGGAAACTACCTCATGAGCTCTGTGACCTCATCAGTGAGTAGACAATTCTTTGCCTTGCCTTGAGGGAACTGTGGGTACAGTTAAAATACTCTCGTAGGCACTGCTGAATTACCTCTGAAAGTCTGGGGGCATAAATACTACAGAAATACATTTCAAACTGAGCTTAATTGCTTTCACAATTAACAGCACAGGGGTTATTTTGGTCAGAAGGAAGGGAAAACAAGAATCATGATAGAGGAGATATGGAGTTGGTTTTCTGAGCGTGGGGCTAAAGCTGCTTTGTGCTATTCACAGTGGAGGTGTCACAGCTCTGCCCTTTTTCTGCCTGCAGGCCAGGTGAAACCTAGTGATATCAAGAGGGTGGTGACCAAGATGCTGCACAAGAAGCCAGCAGTGGCTGCCCTGGGTGACCTGACAGATCTGCCCACGTACGAGCACATCCAGGCCGCCCTTTCCAGCAAGGACGGGCGGCTCCCGCGGCTCTACCGCCTCTTCCGATAGAGCAGCGCCTCCTGCCCTGCCTCAGAATCCCTTCTTTTTTAATGGTTTTTTTTTTGATTCTCATGTTGCTGTACCACCCTCCCTCCCCCCAATGCTCCCAGGCATTCTGTGCAGCCATGGAGCTGAGCAAAGCTGCTTTGGAGCACTGGACTGTGAAGGGCTGGTGTAAGGAGCCAGCAATGGCTCTGGAGGAGGAGTTTGACCCTCTGATAGGTTACAGGAGAAGATGGGTGTTGACACCCTTCTCTTGGCTTTGGGGAGAACA